GGGACCAGCAGTTGGCATAATGGCTTTGTCACTGGACTCCCATGTAGCTGACCGTGGTTCGTGTCCCAGACCCAGTAGCTTAAACTCACATTGGGCGCATGTGCATGCGCACCCAAGATCCCAAGAGGAGAATGGAGGAGAAGGGATTGTGGCGTGGGCATCCCCCCGGGGGTGATTTCTCACTTTCTATCTCTCTGTCTCTCTCCATCTTTCTGGTGAACGCAAGTGCATTACAGCAAAAACTTCTCCAAAATAATAATAATAATAATAATTCTTTAGAAAAAAAACACTAGAGCACAAATGATGCAAATTATTCCAAGATGAAGCCAGGCTGTACCTAAGCTCACATGTAATGCCAATAGGTAGGTAGCCTCCAGCTCTGTGAAGGCATGGAAACACTATTGGTTCTCTCCAAAGGGGTTCTCAGGGGGCAGGATCAAACACACTTGGGCAGCAGACAGAACATGCCACTCCTGAAATACCTAAGTGGACATAATAAAGTGTCCTTACAAAAGAATCACTTTCTTAGAGTTCAACAGTATGCATCTATAATCCTAGCTAACTAGAAGGCTGGTGCAGAAGGATCATGGCATAGTGAGACCCTGTCAAAAAATTACCTATCACTCCCTTTCTCTTACTCCCTCTTTCTCTCTCTCTTTTTTTTTTTTTTTTTTTTTTTTTTTGGGGTTTTCACTTTAGGGGGCGGGCCCTTCCCAACAGAGAGACAGAAAGCGAGAAGTCACCCCCCAGGGGGGATGGTCACGCCGCAATCCCTTCTCCTCCATTCTCCTCTCGGGATCTTGGGCACACACACACACGCGCCGGGCGTAAGTTCTAAGCCACCGGGTCCGGGACACGAACCACGGTCAACTACGTGGCAGTCCAGCGACATAGCCATTACATTAACTGCTGGTTCCCTCTCTCTTTTTTTTTTTAACTACCAGAAGGTATGTATGCTTGCAAAAGAAGAGAGAAAGAACCCTTCAACTGAACACAGACATGCTTCAATCCTTTTTCCCATTTCTCTATTCCGTCAGGATCTTGGATATGCACACACACATATCTGGTGTGTTTTGGTTTTTTTGTTTTGTTTTTGCTATGGGGTGTTGCACTTGCCAGAAAGAGAGAGAGAGACACAGAAAGATAGAAAGCGAGAAATCACCCCCCAGGGGGTATGGCCACGCCACAATCCCTTCTCCTCCATTCTCCTCTCGGGATCTTGGGCACACACACACACGCGCCTGGCGTGAGTTCTAAGCCACCGGGTCCGGGACACGAACCACGGTCAACTACGTGGCAGTCCAGCGACATAGCCATTACACTAACTGCTGGTCCCTATCTAGTGTGTTTTCAAGCCACTGGGGCCAGGATTCAAACTGCGGTCAGCCATGTAGGATACAGTTTCTAATGTACATTCTTTATCCATTGTATTATGGGTCAGTCTTCCCTCCCTCTCTTAAAAAAAGAAAGCATCGGGACCAGCAGGTGGTTAAGGGCTCTGGACTCCCACATGGCCAACCATGGTTTAAGTCCCGGACCTGGTGGCTTGCTTTCTCTCTCTCACTCTCTGTCCCTCTTGGATCAAATTAAAATAAATAAAAATTTTAAAATAAAGCATCAATTTAACCCATTAAGTAGATTAGAAGTCCAAAGTTGGTGCAAAAATTAAACATACTTATACCCAGATTTCCTGATCATTTTATTCATACTTTGAGGTTTTCTATATATTCAAAAAATTTTGGAGAGGTTTTGGGTATAGGGCACGTGCACTCGCCAGAAAGACAGAGACAGACAGAGAGAGAGAGAAAGCAAGAAATCACCCCCCCAGGGGGGATGGCCACACTGCAATCCCTTCCCCTCCATTCTCCTCTTGGGATCTTGGGCACACACACACACACGTGCCTGGCATGAGTTTAAGCCATGGGGTCCAGGACTCAAACCACTACATGGGAGTCTAGCAACATAGCCATTATACCAACTGCTGGTCCCATATGTGAAATATTTTAAAATAAAGGGTTTGAAAACACTTTGACAAATTTAGCAGTGTATTAGAAGAGGACACACAACTACCAGAATGTGAACTTGTGGGTTTGAAGATTCTTTTTTTTTATTTTTAGAGAGTTTTGCTATAGGGCACATGTGCTCACTGGAGAAAAAGAGAAAGAGAAAGCAAGAAATCACCCCCCCAGGGGGGATGGCCACACTGCAATCCCTTCCCCTCCATTCTCCTCTTGGGATCTTGGGCACACACACACACGTGCCTGGCATGAGTTTAAGCCATGGGGTCCAGGACTCAAACCACTACATGGGAGTCTAGCAACATAATCATTACACCATCTGCTGGTCCCTGAAAGAGATATTTTAAAAATTAACATAAAACAGGGGCCGGCAGGTGGTATGGTGGTCAAGGACGCTGGACTCCCACATGGCCGACTGGTTCAAGTCCCAGACCTGGCGGACTGCTTTCTCATTTTTCCTCTCTCTCGCTTTCTCGCTCTATCCCTCTCTGGGTAAGTTTTTTAAAATAAATACTCTACCCCTCTCTGGGTAAGTTTTTTAAAATAAATAAATAAAAGTTAAATAAAATAATTTTTTTTTTTAATTAACATAAAACATACATTCTACTCAAGAAACATTACCTTTATTAAGTGAGAGGGAAGCTGTGGTCCAATAAAGCCTGACGCAGCCTGTTTGTTGGTGACAACTCGCTGACTGATTACAGGCCGGGGAGAGGACTGGCCAGGGCTGTGGGTAGGATGAGTAAGCTCACCTCCATTTTTCACATCATGGGACCTGAAGACAAAGAATGACATCACTTAAAGAAAATATGGTACATGCACACAACACACTACTATGCAGCCATTAAAAAGGACAAAATCCAGGCATTTCAGGATAAACGGATGAGCCTAGAGGACATTATGTTAAATAAAGTCAGTCAGGTATGGAAAGAAATACTACAAGGCCAGCAAATGGCACAGAGGTTAAAGCAGCTGGATCCCACATAGCCAACTGCACAGTTCAAGTCCAGGAGCCAGTGGCTTGTAAATCATGCTGGGCACATGTACATGCCTGCCCAAAATCCTGAAAGGAGAATGGAGAAGGGATTGCTGCGTGGCCATAGCCCCTAGGAGGTGATTTCTCACTTTCCCTCCTCTCTCCTCTTGCTCTCTTTCTTTCGCTGGCAAGTGCAAGCACTCTTTAGCAAAACAAAACAAAAAAAGAAATATCACATGTTCTACCTCACATACAGAAATCGGAAAAAAATTATCTCACAGGAGTAGAAAGATGTAGAATGACTACTGAAGACTGGAAAGGATCGGGGAAAGGAATAGAAGGAAGCAGACAGAAGGAACATTGTCTAATAATATACAGAGAATATGAAGAATATGGTTAGCAACTTACTATATATTATGTTTCAAATGATTGAGGTGATGAAGATACTAATTAATTACTCCAATTTAAATCATCACACAAAATATTCATGTACTGAAAAATCATGTAGCAACTGTTATCATAAAAAAAAAAAAGTTATTGGGGCCGGCAAGTGGCATGGTGGTTAAAGGCGCTGGACTCCCACATGACCGACCATGGCTCAAGTCTCGGATCTGGTGGCTTGCTTCCTCCCTTCCTCTCTCTCTCTCTGTCTCTCTCGGATCAAACTGGAAAATAATAGTGATAATAATAATAAATAAAAAGTTAAATAAAAATAATTCTTTAAAAAAAAAAAGTTATCAAAAAAAAAAAGAAAAAGAGTGCCACTGCTGAGGGTGATGCAGAACATACCCTCAGAAGTGGATCGTTTACAGATTCAACAGCATTTAACTCCTCAGATGGAAAAATGAAAGGGGGGGGGGAAGCAGTACTTTAAGAGAGATTTTTGCCACAGAGTGCATGCCCTCAATGGAGAGACAGAGATGAAAGACAGGAAGTGAGAACTCACTCCCCAGAAGGGACGGCCACACTGCAACCACCCTCCCACCTCATTCTACTCTCAGGATTTGGGGCACGTATGCACACATATCTGGCATGTGTTTCAAGCTGGGGCTGGGATTCAAACAGTGGTCATTATGTGGGAGTCCAGTGACATAACCATCACGCAATCTGCGGTCGTACTTTTATGTTTCATTGTACAGAGCAATACAATTGCTTTTTTTGTTGTTTTCTTGTTCATTCATTCATTTTCACACGATTGCTTTTAGGTTTAAGTTAACACCAGACACTAAGATCAGGAAACAGCAAGCATAACTGAGTAAATGGTAATTTTTTTTTTTGAAAGGTTTTTGCTATAGGGTGAGTGCGCTCACCAGACAGACAGAGAGAGACAGAGAGACAGAAAGCGAGAAATCACCCCCCAGGGGGGATGGCCATGCCGCAATCCCTTCTCCTCCATTCTCCTCTCGGGATATTGGGCACGCACGCACATGCACCCAGCATGAGTTTAAGCCACCGGGTCTGGGACTCGAACCGCGGTCGACTATGTGGGAGTCCAGCGACATAGCCGTTACGCCAACTGCTGGTCCCAATAAACGGTAATTTTTAAAAATTGTGTAGGATGCAGCTATCTGAAAGTCATTTTTCTCTTTATTTACATTTTTCTAATTACATATACCATCCTAGAAATTGTCCAGAAAAGTTAGAAAAATAAACACTGTCCCTCATCTTGCCTCTCAGAGGCAGCTCCTATTCTGACTTAGTCAATTATCAGTCACTGCTAAAGTCCACACTGTAGTTTATAGTATCTGTGTTATTTAATATTTCAAATTGCTTTTCTTCCACATATACTCAGCTCTTCCTCAAAGTTATTAAAAAAATGCTTCAAAATAATCCATCTGGGGACCAGCAGTTAGCATAATGGCTATGTAGCTGGACTCCTACGTAGTCGACCGCGGTTCGAGTCCCAGACCCGATGGCTTAAACTCACGCCGGGCGCATGTGCGTGCGTGCCCAAGATCCCGAGAGGAGAATGGAGAAGGGACTGTGGCGTGGCCATCCCCCCTGGGGGGTAACTTCTAGCTTTCTATCTCTCTGTCTCTCTGTCTGGTGAGCACATGCACCCTATAGCAAAAAATCCTCCCCCCTCAAAAAAAAATCCATCTGAACAGCTGCACAATATCTACATATGGACCAGATCATTTTGCCACTGGACATTTTAGGGTAGTCTTGATTTCAGCTATTTAAAAAGGACTTGGTAGATAACCGGGCCATAGTGGCACAGACAGTAGGGCACAGCTGCATGATACTGAAGCCATACAGGAAGGCTCCAGGTTCAAAAATAAGGTCAACTTGAACACACCAGGCACAGCTGTGGGTGCACCTGTGATCTTGGGGGAGTACAGATAATGACATGGTGAGACACAGTTGAAGGTACTCTTTCTTCCCAACTCTTGTGTTAAGAAACTCAAAAAAAAAAAAACAAAAAGGAGCCCTTTGGAGTCCACATAAGAGTTTTTCCAAAATAGAACAAACAAGGGGTATGCAGTGGCACAACAGTAATACTCTATGAGGCTGACCCACAGGGGAAGGTTCTGGTTTTCTGGAAATGAGGGGTATCGGTATGCCCATTATCCAGGGCTAACTGAATTAGGGGGTAGACTGTGGAATAATCTGTTAGGTATTGGCTTTCTCTTTGACTCACGAAGAAATAACTTAAAAAAAAAAAAAAAAACAGGAGGGCCAGAGGATAGCATGGTGATTAAGGTGCTCGATCCCACACAGTCAACCATGGTTCAAGTTCCAGACCCAGTGATTTGAAAATCACGCCAGGTACACGTGCATGTGTGTCCAAAATCCTGAGAGGAGAGTGGAGGAGAAGGGACTGTGGCATGGTCATTCCCCAGGGGGATGATTTCTCACCTTCCCTCTTTCTCTCTCCTTCTTTGTCACTCTCTGGTAAGCACACATACCCCATGGCAAAAACCTAAAAACAAAAAGCAAACAAACGAAAAGAATGAAAAAGGGTATGTAGCCAAATAGCTTGAGCAGCTGGCCCAGGCCTAGCCCAGGAGGCATGCAGCTGCTGCCTATGCTCAGCATTTGGGAGGTGCTAACCAGGACCACCCTGGGTGCTCTGAACACCCTCCCTGAGATCTCCACATTGCCTTCATCGCCCAAGCCTGCTCTATCTGCCCCCAGCAGCAGCAGGCTACTCTCCTTTGCTAACATCTTTCTATTCCTCTGTACCTTCAATATTAACCTGCCACACATCAGAAACTGAAGCAAATTCATAGTCTAGGCTCAAAAAATACTTTCCTTATTCTCTAGAACTGGGCAGTTCACTCTTAAGCTGCTATTTTAAAAAATAACTCAATTTTGAACTTAAATATGTTGACGACAGAAAAGAACGTATCTGACAATTTGTGTTCATGACAATACCTGATATAAAAGAGAACATATGCTTGTTGACTGAGTACCGATCTAATGTCACTGGTAGATACAATGGAGTCATTCATTTGATACCAGAGGCCATTGCTAGCCTGCAAAAGAGAACCAATAAAATAGAAATCTTAGATTTAATTAGGTAAACAGGCCATAGTCAAGAGAAATACAACAAAAATGGGCATTCGTATTTAGGGTGTAAAAGTCCCACCTTCCTCCCTGAAAAGTGCTAGAGCTAACTTACAGTGTGTATGTAAAAGCAGGGGTTAGTTTAATCTGCCCGGCTTACTTTTATGTAGCAGAAGTAATGGCCGGCATGGCAATTGAAACCAGTGTGTACCAGCACTGCATACAAAACATAAATAATGGGCTCTCCGTTTGGCTGAGACATGTATGGACGAATATCAAGATATTCAGGATATTTCACATCCTAAACAGAAATGGAAAAAGGAGAAAGAAACATCATTCTGAAGGCACAGATCCTTCTGTAAATTTAAGCACAGATATGTAACATCTCCTAGGAGGAGACCTGCAGGACACTTCACCTGTAATGATCTGGCAAATGCATTAACCAAATGCATTAACCACTTTTCAAAGGCAGGCCAATCTGGAGGATCCTGACTCTTAGTGAACAGAAGGCAATCCCTCTATTTTTTATTTTCTTTAAACAAATTAGGACCTACATTAAATGAATTTTTCAAATTCATCAAGGGACAGTAAAAAAAAATGACAACTCTAGACATTAAGCACTTATTTTTATTTTTCATAATTTAGGATTGTTTGTTTTGAATACTATTGTATTTTTTTATAGCAATTTTAACTTTCAGAAAGTGAAAAGCAAATGGGGAAATGCAGTGGGTTACCACTCAGCAAACAAATGGACAAATAAGAAATAAACTTTGGCGAAAGTGTGGCAAGACCTAGCAGGAAATTCTTCTTAGGATTTCAAATTATGTAAGCCCTTCCCTCATTACCATGGATACCAAAGAATTGACTATAGAGCCAAAAGCAGGTAACGGTTGCCAACTTATCAGTAGAAAGTCTAGCTAGATGAAGAATACAGTAAAACATGTACATTCATAAGCACACACTGAACTTCGTCAATTCTTTTTTCCCCCTGCTACCAAATACTGGAAGAACTTAGATGAGTCAACAAAACTGTTCAGTCAGGTCACTGATAACCTATTTAATAGCTACTGATAAGCCTTGAAAGGCTCAACATGAAGAATTGCTAATAATACCTACATACCTTTGCAATTTTTCCACCAGTAAAATTTGCAAAACGTTTCAGAGAAAGTGTAAGAACATTAGAAGATCTATGTATAGTGAACCTCTTTGAAGCTGGAACCATCTTTTTACACCTTGAAATAAATAAAAACAAAGGATTAAAAAGATTAATATGTGTTGGGACCAGCAGTTAGCATAATGGCTATGTGGCTAGAGTCCCATGTAGTTGACTGCAGTTCAAGTCCTGGACCTGGTAACTTAAAATTCATGCCGGGCGCATGTGCGTGCGTGCCCAAGATCCTAAGAGGAGAATGGAAAAGGGACTGTGGCATGACCATCCCCCTGGGGAGTGATTTCTCGCTTTCTGTCTATCTTCCTGGCAAACGCATGCACTCTGCAGCAAAAACCTCTCAAAAAAAAAAAAGATGAACGTGTATTTTCAGTAGTCTTTCTCTTACTTCTCTGAAACATTCTAAACTTCCAAAAGCAGGCTACTAGAGGAGAAACACTATCTCCTTTAGCCAACAATGAAAATGTTAAAAATAAAAATAAAGAGAAAGGGGCTGGATGGTGACATAACAGCAACACGACACTCTGTGCGGTTGACCTACATGGGAAGGTTTCAGATTCATATCTGGAGAGCTCTCCCTGAACAGGCTGGCTGAAGCTGCAGTGGATCATGATGTGAAGACCCTGCTGGGGGTACCTAACCCTGTCTCTGCCTGTCTGTCTGTCTGTCTGTCTCTCTCTCTCTCTCTCTCTCTCTCTCTCACAGTAGAAAGAAACTTTAAAAAAAATTTAAATAGAAGTTGGGACCAGCAGTTGACATAACACATAATGGTTAAGTCGCTGGACTCCCATGTAGTCAACCGTGGTTCGAGTCCCAGACCCAGTGTCTTAAACTCACGCCGGGCTCATGTGTATGCATGCCCAGGACCCTATTTAATAGCTACTGACAAGCCTTAAAAGGCTCAATATGAAGAATTACTAATAATACCTACATACCTCTGCAATTTTCCACTAATAAAAGATCCTGAGAGGAGAATGGAGAAGTGATTGAGGCATGGGCTATCCCCCAGGGGGGTGATTTCTCACTTTTTGTTTCTCTGTCTATCTCTGTATTTCTGGAGAGCACACGTGCCCTATAGCAAAAACCTCTCCAAGAAAAAAATTAATTAAATAGGGACTAGCCCCATAGTGCAGTGGTTAAACACTGCACAGAGGAAGCTGAATCCCACAGTTGATCAGGGTTCAAGTCCTGGTCCCAGAAACTTAAGAAACATGCCAGGCATGTGCACATGTGCACATGTGCCCAGGATCCTGACAGGATGGAGAAGTGGAGAAAAAGAGATTGTGGCATGACTAACCCTGTTGAGGGGGTGCTTTCCCTCTCTTGCACAACACTTCACGTGCATGTACATGCCTTCTGACATTAACAAAAAAAGAGAGAGGAGACAGAGAATTCTGAAACACCAAGCCAGGGAGGCCACTCATAATGTTAAAATTAAGTTACTAAAAATGTTTCCAACTGAAACAAATGGAAAATGTAGCCATTTGTCTTTTCTTTCTTTTTTTTTTTTTTGGAGAAATTTTTGCTCTAAGGGCATGAGTGCCCACTCAAGAGACAGAGAGAAGGTGAAAATCATCCCCTAGGGAGGTACCACACTGCAATCCCTTCTTTTCCATTCTCTTCTCAGGATTTTGGGCATGCACAGACATGTGCCCAGTGTGAGTTTCAAGTCACTGGGTCTAGGCCCGTTTTTTTCTTTTTTTTTTTTTTTAAGTATATTTATGTGAAAGCAAAGCTCTAGCCAGATGCAAAAGGAAGAAAAATTAAGATTAGAAATGTCTACAGAGTTTAAAATAAAGGAGAAATCACTACAGTCTTGGAGAGAAGGAGCTCTTTTCCCACTAAAATGGGTATTTAGTAATAAAAGACTACCTATGTTATCTGATTTTAAAGTAGAAATCTACTTACAACATATAAAGCAGACTTCCTAAAAATAAGGCTCTATTCTATAGTCCTAGCTACTCAGATGCTGGGGAAGGACGGTGGACAGCCTGCAGTCAGCATGGGCAATGCAGTAGGACCCTCTCTGAAAGGGCCAGGCACAGTCATGTTTGCCTATGGTACCAGCTACTGGGGAGGCTAAGGCAGGAGGATAATGCATGACATAAGGAGACCCTATCTAAAAATTCCACACATGTGGTACATGTACATGCATGCAAGTGTGTACAGGCATACACACACATGCACAGACACACACACACACACACACACACACACACACACACACACACACACAGGGTTCTCTTGACTTCATGGGAAAAGAAATGAATAAATAATGAAAATTTGAAGTTTCCAGAGAACACTATCCCAAACTCTGGGTACTCACCATAAGAGGAAGATCCTTAACTATTCTAGGAGAAAATGACTCCCTAACTTATTTCAACCCTTTCAGGAAAGCTGATGTAAATTCTGTTTGACAAACACGTCATCCCAAGCCACCTCCTCTTATGAGGAAGCACTAACATGGGGTGCATGGATGCTCTTATCTCATTTTCCTCCCACCAAATCTACCCAGTAATGAGGCACCAGTCTCCCAAGGGCACCAAAATGCAAATCCTGAAAAAGTATAAACACTGAGACATGCATGCTCTGGCTTTTGAGGAAAAGTACCAGAAGCTAAAGGCAACCTACAGGGGGCACACAGACACACTAAAGTCTTTCAAATCCAGCCTCCCTGCCATCCCCCCAGAGCAGCTGGCAGCAAAGACCACCAAGTCGCCCGCCGTACTTGCTACACTTGTATGAGTTTTCTCCATCAAGCTGTTCCGGCTTCACAAATTGCTCCAATGCTTTGTTGACGCTCTGAGCAGCCTGGGAAGAGAAAAAGCAAAAATATATGACTGCACATTGCCACTTGGTAATAAAGAGATAGAGAACACAAGACTCAAAAGACATAAAAGTGAATGGACATTTTTTACGTGAAAATGAAGTTTTCCTTAATAATGATGTTCACTTTTATACATCTACATACTACTGAAAATTAAGCATGTAAGTTACAGTATATTCATTTACTGAGCCACCACTCAATTGCTCAAAGAACACACATGTATAACAGAATCTGAGCATTTTTAAATGAGAACAAGCAGCCAGCCAGACATGAGGCATATTCCACTTGTTTTTATAAAAACAACAAATAATACATTCTGAAACACTAAACGTCAAACCATGAAAAAGAATTCTGAGGAATAGAATTTTATGAATATGTGCAAAGTTTCTTATTTTTATCATAAACACTTATTACATGTGTAATCAGGAAAATAAAAGCTAGGGCCAGTCTTGAAGCACAGTGGTTAAGGGAACTGGATCTAACATAGCTGACTGAGGCTCAAATCCTGGCCCAACAACTCCGAAAACACACATCCTGGGTGCATGTGCATGCATGTCCAAAATCCTGACAGGAAGGAGGATTAAAGCAAAAAGGATGGCAATGTGACCACATCCCACTAAGGGGTGCTTTCTCTCTCTCATGCACCCTCTGGCAATTGAAAAAAATATTGTTAAAGACTTATTTATTATTATTTATTATACTTCAATTTTACCATAGAGAAAGAAAATGAGAAAGCAAGCCGCCAGATCCAGGACTCAAACTGCAGTCAGCCATGTGGGGGTCATACAGCTTAACCACCATGCTACCTGTCAGCTCCAAGTTTTTTAAATTTTTAACTAAAAAAAAATAAACTCAAAAACAAAAAATAGGAATTTAGAAAATGCAAGAAGCGAAACAGTTTCTAAAGATTAATAACCATTTGTTTGGCTAATATAGGTATCAACGTTTGATTTGTTTCACATTTTGGGGGGGGGGGCATGAGAGGGTTTTGCTATGGGGCACGTGCACTAGCCAGAAAGTCAGACAGAGAGACAGAAAGCAAGAAATCAACCCATATGGGGCATGGCCACGCCACAGTCCGTTCTTCTATATTCTCCTTTCAGGATCTTGGGCATGCATGTACATGCACCCGGCGTGAGTTTAAGCCACCAGGTCCAGGACTCGAACTGCAATCGACTACATGGGAGTCCAGCGACATAGCCATTATGCCAACTGCTGGTCCCTGATTCATATTAATTAAGTGAAATGTCTAAGGGTAATAAAAATATTTTACATTTTTTATGATACCTACCACCTACCACAAAGCTTGAATAATCACTTCCAAATGAAATCTTAGCATATTAAAATTGTATATCCTAGCAAGCATAGTTTAAATTAGAAATTAACTATAAATACATAGTTATATAAAATGTTTACTACAATTATCAAATTTACCTTTATCTCCAATGTTATATCAAGATATGGGTCAAAAGTATCTGAAACGCCTTTGCAATTTAAACATTTGACTGAAATAAAAATAAAACACAAATGATAAGCAAAATGCAATCATTACAGTAATATCAACTATTAAAATAATAGAATAAAATATTATTTCAAAATAAAAATTAAAACAGTATAATTTTCTATCAGATTGGGCAAAAAAATGTTCAGTACTGCATACAGTGTGAGTTAAAGTGTCATAAATTTGGCTTCTCACACACTACTGGTTGGAATATAAAATGGTATAACCTCCTGGAAAGACAACTTGCAGCATTAAAATTTAAAATACACATACCCTATAATCCAGAAATTCTAGTACAGTACTAAGACTTTATCCTACCATATATTTTACGTAGATCTAAAGGCATGTGCACATGGATGTTCAATGAAGCACTAATGGTAAGAACAAAAATAGAAACAACCCATCAATAGGGGACTAAAATAAGTAAAATACTACTATAACTATGAAAGATGGTTAAACTACAATATGTGTGCTGAAATGTAACACAATTTCTAATATTAAGAGACAAAGTAATATAAACAGTATGTTCCCAGTTTGTACCTGCATAGGAATCAACTGGATAGAAATACCACAAATTGGTACAGGGGCTGCCTTTGAGGAGGGGTAAGGATAGCTGAGCTGGATGGAAGATGTACTTTTCATTACTAACCCTTTGGTACTGTTTGCATCTTTTTTAAACCACCCATGTATCACTATCAACTTTTAAATAAAAGTTTACCTCTAGATCTTAGGTATCCTCCAAATATCTGACAAACAAGTGTGGTGGCCTGGGTGTGTCTGTCTAATCTGAAAAATATAATATGAGAGAAGTAATATGAGAGAAGAGTTCTGTGAAAATTACATATGATACAACCAAATTTTAAAAGCATATACATTTATAAAAGATGAAGAATTCAAACAGAGGAGCCACAAAAAATAAAAAGATATCACTATGTGTGGCAGCCCCAAAGTCTGTCTGACTAGAATCCAGTGAGGGTTTGAGGAGTGGTAGGAGATGTAAAAGAGTAGAAACTACATCGTAAAGGGACTTCAAAGTCAAGGAATGAGGCCCTGATGCAAGAAGCGAGAGGAAGACAGGCTTGTGACCCTGCACGGGGGAAATGTCTGGTGAAGGCAGAAAAGGGAGAGGATATTCCTGTTTTGAGTCTATCACCACCCAGACAATGGAAGCCTGGATGAGACAGTACTGGTTGCAGTGAGAACACAAAAAAAGCTGTGCAATGTGTGTTTATGCACTAGCAAGTGGATGAGGACTTGTTATCTAATTATATCCCTGGTCTTCCTCTTGGGTCTGCATGTACATTTTATGAAAGAAACTACAGGAATTGGTAACTAACCAGTATGTGGGAGGGTGGGGGTAGCAGGGTACACAGAATACAAATACAAATGTCTGAGAATGGGGGTCAGCAGAGAAAATGTCAGTTACAACTAGAAAGGAGAAGCAGTTAGTTTCAGACTTACAGAGGTATGTTGATACTCAGAAATTAAATAATGGCAAGAACAATATTCATTTCCTAACAATATATAATTGAACGAATCAAATTGTTACAGTAAACATTCCTTTTTAAATTTTAACTATTTTTTAAAAAGAATTATTTTATTTCATTCATTATTATTATTATTTAATTTGACCAAGGACAGACAGAGAGAGGGAAGGAAAGTGAGAAAACAAGCTGCCATGTCTAGGACTTGAACCACAGTCAACCATGTAGATGTCCAGCACCTTTACCACCACACCACCTGACAGCCCCAATTTTAACCATGTTAAAATAATGCAAATCAGGGGGGCCAGCAGATGGTATAGTGGTTATGTCGCTGGACTGCCATGTGGCTGGACCCCCATGTGGCTGGACCTGGTGGCTTGAAATTCAAGCCAGTCGCGTGTACGTGCATGCCCAAGATCCCGGGAGGAAAACGGAGAAGGGAATGCAATGTGGCCATCACCCCTGAAGGGTGATTTCTCACTTTACCTCTCGCTGTCTCTGTCTCTCTCTCTCTCTGGCAAGCGCACATGCGCTTGTGCCCTGACGCAAAAACCTCTTGGGGAAAAAAAAATAATGCAAATCAGCTGGGAAAGAGGCCAAAGTCAAAAAGTAAAGCAAACATACATTTAAGGCAAAACTGAATTCTGAAAGGCCAGAATGCAAAGTTAAGAAATGGCCAATGCTTTGTAGTACTTACTTATTGCTGCCATTCAAGCATGCTTTTTGCATAGCATCAACTGTGTACTGAAGGAATTCATGGGCATCTTCTTGGTTTCCAAAACGGAAGTGCCTAGCTATACCTATAAAATTTAAGTAAAGACAAGGCTTTATCATTACACATAATATGCCGAAGCAGTATCTCAAAAGTACTATATCTCAAGATAATATGTTGGTTTAAAAAACCCCTGGGTTGAACCAGTAGATGATATAATGATTATATTGCTAGACTCCTACCTAGCCAACCGTGGTTTGAATCCTGGACCTGGCAGCTTGAAACTCACTCTGGGGTGTCTGTGCATGTGTGACTAAAATCCTGAGAAGAGTCTGGAGGAGAAAAGACTGTAGCATGGTCATTCCCCCTGGAGGTTGATTTCTCACTTTCCCTCTTTCTCTGTCTCTTCAACAAGTACATGCACCCTATAGCAAATATCTCTCTTTAAAAAAGAACAGGAAAGGAAAGGAAAGGAGAGGAGAGGAGAGGAGAGGGGAGAAGAGAGGAGGAGAGAAGAGAAGAGAAGAGAAGAGAAGAGAAGAGAGGAGAGGAGAGGAGAGGACAGGAGAGGAGAGGAGAGGAGAGGAGAGGAGAGGAGAAGAGAGGACCTGGTAATTATTCTATGAGGATCCAGTACTAAAACAAGCTCCGCTGAGAACAGTCATGAAGACCCTGCCCTTTAAATCACTAAGCACCACTAAGACCACAGGGGTTAGAGTTTCTGAGAGTCTAGAGAGTAGCCACAGTCAGATTCTTAGATCTTTAGTAAATTAATAAAGTTATATCTGAATAAGTTCAATGTTGGCTATATTGTTTCAAAAGTCTGCCAGCCTCTGAACATGAAGACATTGCTACCTGGAGACTAAGGCCACATGGGAGGCCCAGGTTCAGTTCCCAGCCCAATCTAAACAGGCTGGGTGTTGTAGTGTGTAACTATAGTGTGTAACTCTAGCTGATGGGAAGGCTGGGGTAAGACAATCCCCACATAGTGAGACCTGATCAACACTCAGTCAAAATCTATCCACCCCAATAGATAAATGAAAACACTTAAAAGAAAAAAAAGTTGTTCAAAATGTTGTATTGGTACACACATTTTCAATTTGGTGCTAGGTCTCCATGATAAAATCCATGCAAGGATTTGTGTGTGGTGGTTAAGGTGGTATTGTGGTTAAGGTGCTGGACACTACCAGGTAGCTGACCACAGTTGAAATCCTAGAACTGGCAGCTTCCTTTCTCATTTTCTCTGTCTCTCTCTGGTCAAATTAAAATAAAAAAAATAAATAAAGTTAAATTTTTAAAAAAGGTTAAATAAAATAATTCTTTAAAAACAAAACAAAACAAAAACCTCACACTGGGCATGTGTGCATGCAAAAAAAGTAACAACAACAACGATTCTTTCTTAAAAAAAAAAAAAACAAGGGGCCAGCAGGTAGTGTTGTGGTTAAAGGTGCTGGAATTCCCACATGGCCAACCACAGTTCGAGTTCCGGACCTGGAGGCGGACGTGGAGGCTTGCTTTCTCACTCTCCCTTCTCACTCTCCATCTTTCTCTGGAAAAACTCATGTGAAAAAATAATAAATACATAAATAAAATAATTCTTTAAAAAAAAAAAACAAAAACATTGTGGCCAGTAAGTGGCACAGTGGTTAAGGACACTGGACTCCCACACGGCCAACTGCAATTTAAATCCCGGACCCGGTGGCTTGCTTTCTCACTTTCCCCCTCTCTTTCTCCTTCTCTTTCATTGTGTCCCTCTCTGGACAAATTAAAATAAATAAATAAGGGCTGGCAGGTGGTATGATGGTTAAGGGCACTGGACTCCTACATGGCCAACCGCAGTTCAAGTCCGTCCCAGACCTGGCAGCTTGCTTTATCACTTTCCCTCTCTCTTTTTCTCTCTCTCTCACTCTGTCCCTCTCTGGTCCAATTTAAATAAATGAATGAATGAATAAATAAATACAATTCAATAAAGTAATAAAGTTAAAAATAATTCTTTAAAAAATATATTACTCGTGCTTACTATACAGGTATGTAGAAAAATAAATACATGTATAGACAATCAAAACTTGTCCTGGGTGGGAACCAGCAGTTGGCATAATGGCTATGTCGCTGGACTCCCACATAGTCGACCGCAGTTCACGTCCCGGACCCGGTGGCTTAAAACTCACGCCGGGCGCATGTGCGTGCGTGCCCAAGATCCCAAGAGGAGAATGGAGGAGAAGGGATTGCGGCGTGACAATCCCCCCTGGGGGGTGATTTCTCGCTTTCTGTCTCTACGTCTTTGTCTGTCTGGCGAGCGCACACACCCTATAGCAAAAAAAAAAAAAAAACAAAAAAACTTGTCCTGGGTGAAATTTTAACATGATTCAACAATATTTTAAAGCTTTTAAAGGCACTGTCTGATCTGTTCTGTCAATACTGCCAAGGGTTGGGACCAACAGATAGCATAATGTTTACATCACTGGACTCCCACATAACTAATCGTGGACTGAGTCCCAGATCTGAAGGCATGAAACTCACACATGCCCAAAATTCCCAGAGAAGGGATTGCAGCTTGGTCATCCCCCCAAAGGGGGTGATACTTCATTTTCTGTCTCTGTTTCTGTCTCTCTGGCAAGAAAATAAATAAGTAAAATAACCCCAAGGGCCAATATAAGAGCTCTTTAATCTTCAGTAGCTTTTTAGGATAAAGGATTATACTTTGTCACTGAGTAATTACACACCCCTCCCTCTAATAACCTAGATACCAGATTACAAGTTAGTTTTTAAAAATTTATATGCTTTAATTTTAATTATTTTATTTTTTTAAAGTTTTGCTAGAGGGCACATGAGCTCACCAGAGAGACAAGGTAAAGTGAGAAAGCAAGCAACCAGGTCTCAGACTTGAACCACAGTTGGCCATGCAGGTGACCAGCGCCTCAACCACCAGCCCACTGGCTAGCTCCAAAATTTGTATGCTTTTTTTTCTTAAAGAAGTATTGTTATTTAACTTTATTTATTTATTTTTATTTTTAATTTGACCAGAGGAGGATAGAGCGAGAGAGAGGTAAAGTGAGAAAGCAAACCACCAGGTGCAGGACTTGAACCTTAGCCATGTGGGAGTCCAGTACCCTCAACCACCACACCACCTGCTAGCCCCCCAAAATCTGTATACTTTTTAACTTCCAACTCAGTAAATTGAGATGACATAAACTTTAATAAAGAGGGACCAGCAGATGGTGTAATGGCTACATCGCTGGACTCTCTCATAGCTGACCGCAGTTTGAGTCCCAGACCCTGAGGCTTAAAATTCATGCAAAGTGCATGTGCATGCATGCCCAAAATCCCAGGACTGCAGTGTGGCCATTGCCCCCGAGGGGGTAATTTTTCACTTTCTGTTTCTCTGGTAAGAGCATGTGTCTTACAGCAAAAATATCTCTTAAAAAATAAAAGGTTTAATAAACACACAGATGAGGCCAGGTGGTGGGATGGTGGTTAAGACACTGGACTTCCACATGGTCAGCTGCAGTTTGAGCCTTGCACCAGGTGGCTTCAAAATCATGCCAGGTGTGTGTGCAGGTGCCCAAAATCCTGAGAGAAGAACAGAGAAGAGATTGTGGCATGGACATCTACCCTCGGGAGTGATTTCTTTCTTTTCCTCTCTGTGTCTATGTCTTGCTCTGTTGAGTGCATATACCCTATAAAAGAAAAATCAAAAGAAAAAGAAATACACAAAAAGTGCATATAGGGACCAGCAGGTGGCATGGTGGTTAAGGCACTGGACACTCCCACATGGCCAACCACAATTTGAGTCCTGGACATGGCTTGCTTTCTCACTTCCTCTCTCTCTCTCTCTCTCTCTCTCTCTCTCTCTGTGTGTGTGTGTGTGTGTGTGTGTGTGTGTGTGTGTGTGTGTGTGTGTATGTCTGGTCAAAATAAAATAAATTAATGTACAAGTAAATTTTTTTAACGTGCATACAAAAATTTCTTATATTCTATTTAAATTGTTTAAAGAATTATTTAACTTTATTTTAATTTGACTAGAGAGGGACAGAATGAGAGACAGAGAGAGAAAAAGAGAGAGAGAAATAGAGAAAGCAACCTGCCAAGTCTGGGACTCGAACCATGGTCGGCCATGTGGGAATCCAGCATCCTTAACCACCATGCCATCTGCTGGCCCCATCTATTTAAATTTTAAATTAATTAGAAAAATGTGAAATTTAGTCATAAATGTTCTCAGTTATAAGTATATTTTTTAAAAGATTTATTTATTTGTTTATTATTATATATATTTTTTCAATTTGCTGCTGGGTATATACACTCACCAGGGAGACAGAGAAAAAGAAAATGAGAAAGCAAGTCACCAGGTCCAGGACTCGAACCACAGTTGGTCATGTTGGGAGTCCGGTGCCTTAACCACCACATCACCTGCTGGCCCCCTAAGTTTACATCTTTAAGAGTATAATTAACTTTGGGACCAGCAGTTAGCGTAATGGCTATGTCACTGAACTCCCATGTAGCCAACTGCGGTTCAAGTCCTGGACCCAGTGGCTTAAACTCACTCCAGGCGCGTGTGCATGTGTGCCCAAGATCCAGAGAGAATGGAGGAGAAGGGATTGCAGCATGGTCATCCTCCTTGGGGGGTGATTTCCCACTTTCTACCTCTGTTTCTCTCTGTCTTTCTGGCGAGTGCACACACCCTTTAGCAAAAACCTCTTCAAAAAAGAAAAAAAAATATAATTAACTTTATTTTAGCAACCCCAGTCACTATATATAATGTATACTACTCATTTACTATGTTAAAACTAATTTTAAAACTATTGAGAGAAATATGTGGGACATTATCGGAGATAGTATTATCCGGCACAGAAGTTTAAGTATTTGGGAAAAATCTATAAAATTTATCAATTATTTTATTAACAAATTGGGTTTAAGAGGCCAGCAGGTGGCAAGGTGATGCTGGATTCCCACATGGCCAACTGCAGCTTGCGTCATTTTCTAGCAAAAATGCACCATGATTTTTTTGACAACTCAATAAGGTAAGTAAATATTTTTTTAAAAAATTGAGTTTAGGGAACCAGCAGTTAGCGTAATGGCTACGTCGCTGGATTCCCACATAGTCGACCGCGGTTCGTGTCCCGGACCCGGTGGCTTAAAACTCACGCCGGGCGCGTGTGCGTGCGTGCCCAAGATCCCGAGAGGAGAATGGAGGAGAAGGGATTGCGGCGTGACCATCCCCCCTGGGGGGTGATTTCTCGCTTTCTGTCTCTATGTCTCTCTCTGTCTGTCTGGCGAGCACACGCGCCCTACAGTGAAAATCTCTCCAAAAAAAAAAAAAAAAAAAATTGAGTTTAGAATGATTAAAAATTTGCTTACATTAAACTAAATACTGTCTTTATAATATTGTCATCTTATGCTTTAAAGTGCCAAACTGTATTTATAACAGTAAATGTTTTACTAAAAATTAGTTATTAACAAATATCTACATCTAATAAAATATGCAAGGGGCTCATATTTTACCAATTAAGCCATGAAGACCAATTAGCTGATAAATACTAACATAAAGTACTACAATTGATACTCACGCCGCATCTCATTGATGACAAACATTGGTTTAATAACATCCCCAGGATTACTGAGCGCCTGAGTAATATGCGCTTGCATTGTACACATCATACAAAATCCTTCTGCATGACCTGAAAGATAACAAATAATAATAATCCAAATTAGTAAAACATAACTATATATACACATTGAAGTAAGTTAAAAATAAGGACACAATCCTGAAATTAAGTAACAATAATAGCTACTATGTGCATGCACTGAGCTATCTACTTTATTTTCATTTAATTCTGTAACAAAAGTGGTATTTATTGGCTCTATTTTACAGGAAAGAAAAAGGCCCAGAGAGTTTAAAATTTGCCTAATGTCACACAGTTATTATATGGCAGACACATAATTGGACTCAAATCATACTTTTTCTAATTTCAGATACTATGGTTACAGCTATTCTCTATACTGGAAAAACAAGAATATTTTTCATTTATTCTTTAATTGCCAGAGGGGTATATATGCTTGCCAAAGAGGGACAAAGAGGCAGAAAGGAGGAGAAAGCTCCTCCAATGCAGTCCTGCTGCAGGCTGGTCTCCTTCATCTCTCCACCCTATTGGGATTTTGGGTACACATGTACATATACCAGGTCAAGCTGTCAAGGCTGGGATTTGAACCATGGTCAGCCATAGGGTATCTCACACTCTTTTTATTTTATTTTATATTTTTAGAGAGAATTTTGCTATAGCCCATATGCATTCACCAGAGAGACAGACAGAAAGCAAGAAATCACTCCCCAGGGGGGAGGGCCATGCTACAATCCCTTTTCCTCCATTCTCTTGAGATTTGGGGCAGGTATGCACACATGACCTGTCTGAGGTTTAAACAACCAGGTCCAGGACTCAAACCGTGATCAACTATATGGGAGTCCAGTGACACAACTATATGGGAGTCCAGTGACACAACCATTACACCATCTGCTGGTCCCAGTATATCGCTCTCTTAAACATTAAGCTATGGGCCAACCTAAATTGTTTCTCTTTCTTTTCTTTCTTTCTAGAGTACAGGCGCTTACCAGAGAGAGACAGAAAGAGATGGAAAGTGAGAAATCATCTCTCACAGGGGATGGCCATTCATGATCCCTTCTCCTCCAGTCCTGTTGGTATTTGGGGTATGCATGCACACATGCTAGGTATGGTTTTCAAGCTACTGAGTCTGGAACCCAATCACAGAGTTGGCCATATGGGATTCAGTGTCTTAACCTCCAGGCCACCTGCTGGCCCTTTTTTCTTATACACACTGTATCTCACAGTAACAGAATGTTTCCCACACTAGGGGTTAGAAATCTCACTGTAAATATTCTGGCTTTATTTGGCCACATCTGTGATTTCTACTGCATATTCTTTTTCTTTTCGTTTTTATAACTTCTTAAAAATATAAAAATCATGGGGCTGGCAGGTGGCGTGGTGGTTAAGGTGCTAGACTCCCACATGGCTGACCGTGGTTCGAGTCCTGGACCTGGCAGCTTGCTTTCTCTCTCTCTCTCTCTTTCTCTCTCTCTCTGGTCAAAATTAAAATAAATAAATAATAAAAATAAAATAAATAGAGTTTAAAAAAAATATATATATATACAAATCAGGGACCAGCACACAGTCGACCGCAGTTTGTATCCTGGACCCAGTGGCTTAAAACTCACGCCAGGCGCGTGTGCATGCGTGCCCAAGATCCCAAGAGGAGAATGGAGGAGAAGGGATTGAGGCATGGCCAGCCCCCTGGGGGGTGATTTCTCACTTTCTGTCTCTCTGTCTGTCTGGTGAGTGCACGCACCCTAAAGCAAAAAACCTCTCCAATAAATAAATAAATAAATATCATTCTTAGCTTATGCTAAGTGGTGCTACTGGCATCTAGTGGGAAAAGAACAGTCATGCAGCTAAACATCCTACAAAGAACAAGATAGCACCCCCAGAACAAAGAATTATCCAGCCATAGGGCCAGAAAGTTAATGTGCTGGATTCCCACATGTCTGATCGAGGTTCAAGTCTCGGACCTGGCAGCTTGAAAATCACAACAAACAAATAGATAAATTAATAAATGTTTTTAAAGATATTTAAAAAGATGGGGGGCGGGGGAACAGCAGATGGCATAATGGTTATGCCACTGGACTCCCACATAGTTAACCACAGTTCTAGGCCTGGACCCGGCTTAACCCTCACATCAGGCACCTGTGCGTAAGTGTGTGCTCAAAATCCCAAGAAGAAAATGGAGGAGAAGGGACTGTAGCATGGCCATTCCCCCAGGAGGTTATTTCTCACTTTCTGTCTCTATCTCTCTCTCTGTCTCTGTGGTGAGTGTATGTACCCTATAGCAAAAAATCTCTATATTATAGAAAAAAAGATTACTCAGCCACAAATGTCAAAAATACGGAGGTTGAGAAACTCTTTCTTAGATAAAAGGCTATTCTGAACCTACCTTAAAAATCTTAAAAGGCCTCAAAAGGATAAAGCTACTTTCAATTAACTGTAATATGATAAACTCAAAAATCCTTAAAGGAATAAAAAAAATCCTGGTACCTAATAACATAAAATAGATAATGTCTGGCATCCAACTAAAGAGAACAAGGCATGGGGCCAGCTCCGTAGCACTGCAGTTCAATGTTGTGAACAGAACGCCAGATCCCATATGGCTGACGATAGTTCAAGTACCAGCCCCAGCAACTTGAGGAACATGCCAAGTGCATATGCATGTGTGCCTAAAATACTGATGGATCGAGAAATGGAGAAGGATTGCAGCATAGCCATCCCCCAGTGGGCAAGAGGTGTGATCTCTCTCTGGCAAATGCACATCTCACTGGTAACTTAAGAAAAAAACGCCAAAACGAACAAAAAAGAGCACAAGGCATGCAAAGATGCAGTAATGGTCAATAAAAAGGAGAAAATAAACAGAAGTGGGCCAGAAATGATACAGATAATAGAATCAAAAGTCAATGACATGGGGTCACCAGGTTGAGTAATGGTTAAGGTGCTGAACTCCCACATGGCCGACCACGGTCTGAGTCCTGGACCCAGTGGCTTGAAACTCACACCAGGCATGTGCATGCATGGCAAAAATCACAAGAAGGGAATGGAGCAGAAGGGACTGTAATGTAGCCATCCTCCCTCAGGGGTGATTTCTTGCTTTCAGTCTCTATCTCTGTCTCTCCTGCAAGTGTACACACCCTATAGCAAAAATTATCTCTCACCAAAAAAAAGGACAATGATACTAAAATATATTATAGATTATCCCTTATCAGAAATGCTTTTGGACAGGACCAGTAGTTAGTGTAATGGCTATGTTGCTGGACTACCATGTAGTCAACTGCAGTTCGAGTCCCAGACCCGGTGGCTTAAACTCACACCAGGTGCGCATGCATGCATGCCTAAGATCTCGAGAGGAGAATGGAGAAGGGACTGCAACGTGGCCATCCCCCACTGGGGGTGATTTCTCACTTTCTGTCTCTCTGTCTCTTTCTTTCTGCCAAGCACACATGCCCTATAGCAAAAACCTTTCAAAAAAGTTACTGAGAACAATGAAAAAAGAAGCCCCAGACTAGGAGAAAATATTTACATATAATGTATCTGACAAAGGACTTATATCCAGAATATATAAAGAACTCTTAGAACTAAACAGCAAGAAAAACTACCTAGTTTTAAAATGGGCAAAAGAGGGGACCAGCAGATGGTGAAATGATTACACTGCTGGACTTCCACACAATCGACCACCGTTTGAGTCCAAGACCTGGAGGCTTAAACTCAGGCCAGGTGCATGTGCATGCATGCCCAAAATCCTGAGAAGAGAACCAAGGAAAAGGGATTGCAGCACGGTCATTCCCCCAGAGTGATTTCTTGCTTTCTGTCTGTCTCTCCAGCAAGCACATGTGCACTACAGCAAAGATCTCTCTTTTAAAATAAATAAATAAATAAATAAATAAATAAATAAATAAATAAATAAAATGGGCAAAAGACTGAGACAGAAAAGCAAAGCAAATATACAGATGCCGGAACCAGCAATTAGCATAATGTCTATGTCGCTGGACTCCCATATAGCTGACTGCGGTTCGTGTCCCAGACCCAGTGGCTTAAAACTCACGTCAGGCGCGTGTGTGTGCTTGCATGTCCAGGATCCTGAGAAGAGAATGGAGGAGAAGGGATTGCGGTGTGGCCATCCCCTCTGGGGGGTGATTTCTTGCTTTCTGTCTCTATGTCTCTCTCTGTCTGGCAAGCGCACGCACCCTATAGCAAAAACATCTTCAAAAATAAAAATAAATATAAATATATATATATATACAGACACCCAAAAAGCACATAAAAGATGTTTAACGTAGGGGCTGGCAGATGGCATGGTGGTTAAGGTGCTGGACTCCCACATGGCCAACCACAGTTCAAGTCCTGGACCTGGAGGCTTGCTTTCTCACTTTCCATCTCTCTCTCTCTTTCTCTTTCTGTGTCTCTCTCTTGTCAAATAAAATAATAATAATAATAAATTTGGAACCAGTAGATGGTATAATGGTCACATTGCTGAACTACCACATGGCCGACCATGGTTCAAGTCTCAGACCCAGCAGTTTAAAAACCACGCTGGGCTTGTGTGCATGCATGCCCAAAATCCTGAGAGGAGAATGGAGAAGAGGTGACTGCAGCATGGCCAAACCCCCTGTGGGGTGATTTCTCACTTTCTGTCTCTCTGTCTCTCTAGCGAGTATATGTGACATCTTACAAAAATCTCCCTCTAAAAATAATAACAATACATTTAAAAATTAAATAAATAACTTTTTTTAAAAGATGTTTAAAATCATTACTCACTAGGGAATTACAAATTAAAACCACAAGATATTACTGTACTACACAAATATTAAAATGGCTAAAATTGGGGCCAAACCATGGCCTATTGGTTAAAGGAGCTAGATCCCATTTGATTGACCATATAGTTCAAGTCCCAGACCCAGCAGCTTATCAGACATGCCAGGCATGTGTGCAAGTGTGCCCAAAATCCCTAAAGGAAGGAGAAATGGAGAAGGGATTGTGGCATGACCATTCCCTGTAAGGGATGCTTTCCTTTTTCTTGCCCTGTCTCTCTCTGGTGGGCTCACACACCCATTGACAAATTTTTT